CATGATTTTCAATTTTGTTTTATTTTTACCCGCAGTTTAGCTCTCTATTTATTAATTTTCTTTGCTTTGTAGAATTTTTATTATATATATTATTTCCAAAGATTTTTGTAACGCAAAGCTCAAAACGGTGCGCATGCAATTTTCAAATTCTATACATATGCTTTGGATCTAAACTTCAAAATCTGACGAATAGTGCTATCTCGAAACATCACTTTTCAGTTTTTGGTGATTTGTAGTCCATTAATTTCTTTCTGGTGGTTTGTGTGCTCTACTCGAAATCAGGAATGGGACAGAACAATGGTGGGAGCCTTGTGTTCAATTCTATCGCAGTTTCGTTATGTTAGTTTATCTTTAAGTATGTGCAATTTAGTTGAGTTAATTTACTTCTGATACTTGTTTTTATTTACTTGCCATTAATGTTATTTACTTGCCATTAATGTTATTTACTTTCCTAATCTTATTATCATTTGCTATGCCTGATTTTCTTTATTTAATACCACCTGTATATATATATTGGGTAATCTCATGTTGGTAAAAAAACAAAACCCCATTGCAGAAATAATTATTTTTTGTTTCCTATTTTTTCTTAACAATAGCCAAAAAGATGACGATTTAGCCTATTTTTAGATTTTTAGCGTCAGTGGATCATCGGCTACTTCAAATGGATGGATCGAAATTGCTTACAACTGTCGAAATATATTGCAATTCTGGTTCAAAATGGAACCTTTAGCTTGTAGTTGCGAAAGGTCTAAATGTTCAAAATGCTCAACATGCTCTCATTGTGGTTCTGAAAGTGATGGACTATCAATTTCTGCTAAATTGAGTCGGAGACGAGAAGGAAAGCAGCCAAAAAGTGTATTGGGAAGTACTAATAATGTTACAAAGGGTAAAGAAAATGACTATGAACAATTCTTTGATAGATTGTTTAGGCAGAGTGTTCGACTATGGACAAAATACAATGAGAATATTGTGAATACCACTAATGAAGTTGCACATGACAAAAATAACGATGTGGAGTTTATTGATAATGAAGTTTTGACCTTAATTAGAGATAGTGATGACGACAACGAAAGTTAATATGTCATTAAATGATGCTAAGATGTATATTGTTGCGTCAGCGAGTCACATGACTATAGTGACGCCACGTTTCTAGAACTATCCTGTACCTTGGCGAATGCTCTAGCATTTACTAGATATAGGGTAGTCTGGTATATAAAAGAGGGTGACAACGTGACGGGACAATAATGTAATGTGTGTGTAGATAGTGAGTAATTGAACTGCAGTCAGAAGTATTGTTGACGTTCGTTGATATAGCGTTTGTTTTAGCGCGATTGTTGAAAATAAGTGTATCGTAAAGTTATATTCGGAGAGAATAAACCAGTTTTATTACGTAAGAACTTGTGTCGTTAAAGTTTCGTCGGAACGAAGTTACGGAAAGTTAATTAACAAACGGAGACGTAACAATATGAAACCATAAATGTTTCCGGAATAGATGCTTCTTTGGCGAGAAATTTATCAAGGTGAAAACCACGTGAAAGTTCTTTAATTCTATTGATAAAGCAAGTCGTATAATTAAGTTCAGTATTTCAATATTAAGGAAAATACGCTCTATTATCTTACCCAATGATGCAGCCCAATTATTGTTTAATATAGGAAAACATATTGTAAAATATACCAAAAAACAACAACAAAGAAATAATATCCCGAAATAAAGAGTAACATGATTAACGTACAATCAATACTGCCGCTACATTCTATCTAGAGAAGGCTTATCAGTTCCATTGTGCGCTTCACTACAAGATGAAGAAGTGTTCGGTTTGTGTAAAGATATATCTCAAAATCCAATAGACTGATACAGTATCTTGTAAACGCAATCCAAATGAGACTGTTTACATTTGCAGTGCTAGTTATTTAACATACCGAATATGTAGCTCATACTCGTTGTTTCATCAATCTTTTATGTTGCCATACCTTCATCTTGATCTTAAAAAGCTGTGAAATCCTTCTCATTAATACTTTCGTTACTTACTCATGTCGAATCACCAAAAATTGATCCTACTCCTACTACGAAATGTTACTCTCTTCGCCCATGCGACAGGTGTTCAAATTAAAGAAATTATATTCACATGATTACCTTTTATTTTAATACTGAAGTTGTATCATATATTTGTTAAGTGTCATTTTGCCAATTTTATATTTTGTATTCATGTTTACAACCTTCAACTTTGTTATTTTA